AGCACACACTCTAGACCAGCGCACTCTCTAGACCAGCGCACTCTCTACACTAGCGCACACTCTCTATACCAGCACACTCTCTAGACCAGCACACTCTCTAGACCAACACTCTAGACCAGCACACTCTCTAGACCAGCACACTCTCTAGACCAGCACACACTCTAGACCAGCACACACTCTAGACCAGCACACACTCTAGACCAGCACACACTCTAGACCAGCACACTCTCTAGACCAGCGCACTCTCTAGACCAGCGCACTCTCTAGACCAGCACTCTAAACCAGCACACACTCTAGACCAGCACTCTAAACCAGCACACTCTCTAGACCAGCGCACTCTCTAGACCAGCACACTCTCTAGACCAGCACTCTCTAGATCTAGACCAGCACACTCTCTAGACCAGCACACACTCTAGACCAGCACTCTAAACCAGCACACACTCTAGACCAGCACACACTCTAGACAGCGCACTCTCTAGACCAGCGCACTCTCTAGACCAGCGCACTCTCTATACCAGCGCACTCTCTAGACCAGCACACTCTCTAGACCAGCACACTCTCTAGACCAGCACACTCTCTAGACCAGCGCACTCTCTAGACCAGCGCATTCTCTAGACCAGCGCACTCTCTAGACCAGCGCACTCTCTAGACCAGCACACTCTCTAGACCAGCACACACTCTAGACCAGCACACACTCTAGACCAGCACACACTCTAGACCAGCACACTCTCTAGACCAGCACACTCTCTAGACCAGCACACTCTCTAGACCAGCACACTCTCTAGACCAGCACACACTCTAGATCAGCACACTCTCTAGACCAGCACACTCTCTAGAGCAGCACTTTAGACCAGCACACTCTCTAGACCAGCACTTTAGACCAGCACACTCTCTAGACCAGCACACTATCTAGACCAGCACACTCTCTAGACCAGCACACTCTCTAGACCAGCACACACTCTAGACCAGCACTCTAAACCAGCACACTCTCTAGACCAGCACTCTAAACCAGCGCACACTCTAGACCAGCGCACTCTCTAGACCAGCGCACTCTCTAGACCAGCGCACTCTCTAGACCAGCACACTCTCTAGACCAGCACTTTAGACCAGCACACTCTCTAGACCAGCACACTCTCTAGACCAGCACTCTAAACCAGAACACTCTCTAGACCAGCACTCTAAACCAGCGCACACTCTAGACCAGCGCACTCTCTAGACCAGCACACTCTCTATACCAGCACACTCTCTATACCAGCTCACTCTCTAGACCAGCACACACTCTAGACCAGCACTCTCAACCAGCACTCTAAACCAGCACACACTCTAGACCAGCACTCTAAACCAGCACACTCTCTAGACCAGCACACTCTCTAGACCAGCACACTCTAGACCAGCACACTCTCTAGACCAGCACACTCTCTAGACCAGCACTCTCTCTAGACCAGCACACACTCTAGACCAGCACTCTAAACCAGCACACACTCTAGACCAGCACTCTAAACCAGCACACTCTCTAGACCAGCACTCTAGACCAGCACACTCTCTAGACCAGCACTCTAAACCAGCACACTCTCTAGACCAGCACTCTAGACCAGCACACTCTCTAGACCAGCACTCTAAACCAGCACACTCTCTAGACCAGCACACTCTCTAGACCAGCACACACTCTAGACCAGCACACTCTCGAGACCAGCACACACTCTAGACCAGCACTCTAAACCAGCACACACTCTAGACCAGCACACTCTCTAGACCAGCACACTCTCTAGACCAGCACACACTCTAGGCCAGCACACACTCTAGACCAGCACACTCTCTAGACCAGCTCACTCTCTAGACCAGCACTTTAGACCAGCACACTCTCTAGACCAGCACTCTAAACCAGCACACTCTCTAGACCAGCACTCTAAACCAGCGCACACTCTAGACCAGCGCACTCTCTAGACCAGCGCACTCTCTAGACCAGCGCACTCTCTAGACCAGCACACTCTCTATACCAGCACACTCTCTATACCAGCTCACTCTCTAGACCAGCACACACTCTAGACCAGCACTCTAAACCAGCACACACTCTAGACCAGCACTCTAAACCAGCACACTCTCTAGACCAGCACACTCTCTAGACCAGCACACTCTAGACCAGCACACTCTCTAGACCAGCACAATCTCTAGACCAGCACACACTCTAGACCAGCACACACTCTAGACCAGCGCACTCTCTAGACCAGCGCACTCTCTACACCAGCGCACACTCTCTATACCAGCACACTCTCTAGACCAGCACTCTAGACCAGCACACTCTCTAGACCAACACTCTAGACCAGCACACAGTCTAGACCAGCACACTCTCTAGACCAGCACACTCTCTAGACCAGCACACACTCTAGACCAGCACACACTCTAGACCAGCACACACTCTAGACCAGCGCACTCTCTAGACCAGCGCACTCTCTAGACCCGCGCACTCTCTAGACCAGCACTCTAAACCAGCACACACTCTAGACCAGCACTCTAAACCAGCACACTCTCTAGACCAGCGCACTCTCTAGACCAGCACTCTCTAGATCTAGACCAGCACACTCTCTAGACCAGCACACACTCTAGACCAGCACTCTAAACCAGCACACACTCTAGACCAGCACTCTAGACCAGCACACACTCTAGACCAGCGCACACTCTAGACAGCGCACTCTCTAGACCAGCGCACTCTCTAGACCAGCGCACTCTCTATACCAGCACACTCTCTAGACCAGCACACTCTCTAGACCAGCACACTCTCTAGACCAGCACACTCTCTAGACCAGCACACTCTCTAGACCAGCGCACTCTCTAGACCAGCGCACTCTCTAGACCAGCACACTCTGTAGACCAGCACACTCTCTAGACCAGCACACACTCTAGACCAGCACACACTCTAGACCAGCACACACTCTAGACCAGCACACACTCTAGACCAGCACACTCTCTAGACCAGCACACTCTCTAGACCAGCACACACTCTAGATCAGCACACTCTCTAGACCAGCACACTCTCTAGACCAGCACACTCTCTAGACCAGCACTTTAGACCAGCACACTCTCTAGACCAGCACTTTAGACCAGCACACTCTCTAGACCAGCACACTATCTAGACCAGCACACTCTCTAGACCAGCACACTCTCTAGACCAGCACACACTCTAGACCAGCACTCTAAACCAGCACACTCTCTAGACCAGCACTCTAAACCAGCGCACACTCTAGACCAGCGCACTCTCTAGACCAGCACACTCTCTAGACCAGCACTTTAGACCAGCACACTCTCTAGACCAGCACACTCTCTAGACCAGCACACACTCTAGACCAGCACACTCTCGAGACCAGCACACACTCTAGACCAGCACACACTCTAGACCAGCACTCTAAACCAGCACACACTCTAGACCAGCACACTCTCTAGACCAGCACACTCTCTAGACCAGCACACTCTCTAGACCAGCACACACTCTAGGCCAGCACACACTCTAGACCAGCACACTCTCTAGACCAGCACACTCTCTAGACCAGCACTTTAGACCAGCACACTCTCTAGACCAGCACACTCTCTAGACCAGCACTCTAAACCAGCACACTCTCTAGACCAGCACTCTAAACCAGCACACTCTCTAGACCAGCACTCTAAACCAGCGCACTCTCTAGACCAGCGCACTCTCTAGACCAGCGCACTCTCTAGACCAGCGCACTCTCTAGACCAGCACACTCTCTATACCAGCACACTCTCTATACCAGCTCACTCTCTAGACCAGCACACACTCTAGACCAGCACTCTAAACCAGCACACACTCTAGACCAGCACTCAAACCAGCACACTCTCTAGACCAGCACACTCTCTAGACCAGCACACTCTAGACCAGCACACTCTCTAGACCAGCACAATCTCTAGACCAGCGCACTCTCTAGACCAGCGCACTCTCTACACCAGCGCACACTCTCTATACCAGCACACTCTCTAGACCAGCACTCTAGACCAGCACACTCTCTAGACCAACACTCTAGACCAGCACACAGTCTAGACCAGCACACTCTCTAGACCAGCACACTCTCTAGACCAGCACACTCTCTAGACCAGCACACACTCTAGACCAGCGCACTCTCTAGACCAGCGCACTCTCTAGACCAGCGCACTCTCTAGACCAGCGCACTCTCTAGACCAGCACTCTAAACCAGCACACTCTCTAGACCAGCGCACTCTCTAGACCAGCACACTCTCTAGACCAGCACACTCTCTAGACCAGCACACACTCTAGACCAGCACTCTAAACCAGCACACACTCTAGACCAGCACTCTAGACCAGCACACACTCTAGACCAGCGCACACTCTAGACAGCGCACTCTCTAGACCAGCGCACTCTCTAGACCAGCGCACTCTCTAGACCATCGCACTCTCTAGACCAGCGCACTCTCTATACCAGCACACTCTCTAGACCAGCACACACTCTAGACCAGCACTCTAAACCAGCACACTCTCTAGGCCAGCACTCTAGACCAGCACACTGGTTTACTGAGGGCTGATTCTCTGTGTCTTCGTCACCCTCTGATGAGCTAAAATAGTGAGAAGAAAATTATAACCTCTATCATTATAAAATTATAATATGTAACTCACCTTTTATCATCATCCCCGTGAGAGTTAGTTATTTTGTGTCCGTTGCGGCGTGATAGAATTGCTCTAGAAAAAAAAAAAAAAAATATATATATATATATACCTCTCATAAAACTTGTTATATAAAGTTAGTATATGTACCGACTTACGGAGCTTTATGTTGATGTAATTGTTTTAATTTATGCATCAGGGGCATTGACTTGGTGTTTAATTTACCTGTGCTGTATAAAATGAAATAAAAGTATTAAACATCTGATTAAGACATTAAGGAAAATGAGATCTTACCCTATTTCATCCGTTGGCTGTATACCTCTCGTAACTTTTGCTGTTGGAGTTAAATCTTCATCGGTGTTATAATGTGTCAATAAACGACCCTTTCCTAGAGATAAACTAAATTAAAACATTTAATATGAATACTGAAAAATGTTATAACTTACCTGTATTAGACATATTGCATAACCTTCTCTTAGACAGTCGCAAAGCGTTTGAACCATTGAAAAACTTCTAATAGACCTCCCACCCATTCTGATTTGCTGTTAGTACGACCTCCCAACCGCTCATCACTATCAGACAAACACACGTGTCGTTAACAGGGAGGACCTGTAGATTAATTAGTTTATTGACCTAACTGCTTGTTTTAGAATACACATGTACTATGGTCATAAATCACTTTAGACAACTGTGAAACATTATCACACACACACAGAAGCTAACTCATTAAAACTCTTTGAAAAATACCGTGCAGTAACACCTTTCACCACTTGCTCAATAGCGGTGCCTCTTTTCTAGGGGATTTTAGGGTGCAGTACCACCTTTTCACCACTTGCTCTTGATAGGTGCCTATACTATCTACTCACGATCAATGCGTCCTCCCGTTACAACGGAGAATGACAACAGTTCCGCCTAATATTACTTCCCTGTACTCACCAGTCTTCTTCTACTAAATGTAAACTAATTCAACTCAGAATTTTTCTTAATTACCAATAATTTCATAAATAAAAATTCTCACAAACTATACTTTGTCCATTGCTGTAATATCACCAATATTTGGGTGTATCACAAAAACATTGTAGACTTTATGAAACAAAAAGCGAGGTACCCCAGCTTTAAGTCTCAAATTCATCAGATCTAACAGGTTCTTAGATGGTCTGTGGTTGTCAGCTCTCACCCTACTGGCATAGTGTGTATTGTGTGTGTGTGTGTGTTTGTGTGTGTCTGTCTCACCCTGTTGGGACAGTGTGTGTGTGTATGTCTGTCTCACCCCGTTGGGACAGTGTGTGTGTGTTTGTGTGTGTGTGTGTGTGTGTGTGTTTGTGTGTGTGTCTCACCCCTTTGGGATAGTGTGTGTGTGTGTGTGTGTCTCACCCCGTTGGGACAGTGTGTGTGTGTTTGTCTCACCCCCGTTGGGACAGTGTGTGTGTGTGTGTGTGTGTGTGTGTCTCACCCCGTTGGGACAGTGTGTGTGTGTGTGTGTGTGTGTGTGTCTCACCCCGTTGGGACAGTGTGTGTGTGTGTGTCTCACCCCGTTGGGACAGTGTGTGTGTGTGTCTCACCCCGTTGGGACAGTGTGTGTGTGTGTGTGTGTGTCTCACCCCGTTGGGACAGTGTGTGTGTGTGTGTGTGTGTGTCTCACCCCGTTGGGATAGTGGTTGATGTGGAGGTCCAGGTCCTGGTACATGGAGGTGATGGTCATGCCGTTCTTCAGGTCCTTGGTCAGGAAGCGCTTGTTGGCCATGTGGTAGTGCAGGGCGTTGTACAGCTCGATGTTCACGTTGTTCACCAGGTTATTCTTCACGTCCTGCGCAAAAGGAAAAATACTTAAAAAACACAGTCTTTTTCCTGATTGTGGTGCTGCATGTGGAGACGCCCTGCTGGAGAAGTATGGTTACTGCACTCTCCTCTTTCTACTTTATCATTATGGCTTCAGCTGGAGTCTGTTCATTGCTCTTCACCCGCTCTGACCTCTGAACCTGGCCTCTTTAGTCTGCACCTGTGAACTGCTCACCCCCCTCTCCCCCTGGGGGTCTCTGGGACTGGAAGTCCTGGGTCTGCAGTCTTTGTCCTGGATCTACAGCCTCAGTCCTGGGTCTACAGCCTCAGTCCTGGGTCTACAGCCTCAGTCCTGGGTCTACAGCCTCAGTCCTGGATCTACAGCCTCAGTCCTGGGTCTACAGCCTCAGTCCTGGGTCTACAGCCTCAGTCCTGGATCTACAGCCTCAGTCCTGGATCTACAGCCTCAGTCCTGGATCTACAGCCTCAGTCCTGGATCTACAGCCTCAGTCCTGGATCTACAGCCTCAGTCCTGGATCTACAGCCTCAGTCCTGGGTCTACAGCCTCAGTTATGTGTATTTGCACATTTATTCCACTGTGGTTTCACTGTAAATGGCAGATAAACTGAGTTTTAATGTGTAGCTTGGACGTTACATCTTCCAGGAGCTCCCAGGCGTCGTTGCTGGGGGCGAAGAAGGTGAAGGATCCGGGCCCCTCGATCTCAGGCCGCAGTTTGGAAGTGTCAGCGTAGGTCTGCGTGGAGCTGGCCCTCACCAGACCCAGGGTGCCATAAACGTGGTCGATGGGCGCCACTGGCAAACACACAACCGCGGTTATTCCACCAGATCAAGAAATGTTGTTCTGCTCTATACTTTTGTCAATAGAGCTCCGTAACATTCACTTTTAATTGATATTTGTGACTCTTAAAACACACGTTTAAATACATGTCAAAGTTTGGGGCACCACTATGGCAACTGTTACTCTGGCAACAATCACTATGGCAACTGTTGTTATACTGTAGCAATCACTATGGCAACTGTTACCATAGGCAACCATCATTATGGCCACTGATTCCATGGTAACCATCACTATGCGAACAATCACCACTGCAACTGTTACCATGACAACGGAAGGTCAATCTTGTGAATCTTGTTTTAATGCAAACTTCTCTTTGGGAGTTTTTTCTCCAGTTGCCATAGTGATGGTGGCCAGGGTAGCTGCCATAGTGATTGCCAGTGATAGTTGTCATGTGATAGTCATCAAAGCAACTGTTGCTAATGGTTACCATAGTGATGGTTGTCATAGGAACTGTTGCTGTGGATAGAGTCACCATGGCAATTGTTGCTATGGCTATCACAATGGGAACTGTTGCTATGGCAACAGCTACCATGGCAACCATCTCTATGGTAACCGTGGCAACAGTCACTATGGGAACAATCACCATCATCCAACTGTTGCCATCACAACTGACTCACAATTTGACAGAGAGATTGTTGTGTGTGATTGCCATGGCAATTCCAATGGCAACTGTTACCTTGGAAACCATCATTATGGCAACTGTTACCATGACAACAGACAGACATTTTTTGGGACTTTGTTTCTGAACATGTTTCTCACTAGATTTGTAATGTAGGAAGAATAAAGAATGATGATTATGTACTGTGCATTACACTCTTTAAGTGTCATAAAATCACAAAACCTTTCTTTATCAGGTTGTATGACGTCCAGACCCTGGTCCACTGAGCTGATCACGTTAGTGGACCACTTGCTAATTACTACAGTGTAGTATCATAGTGTGTGAGGAGTGTTGGTACCTGCAGGACAGCCGCGCATGTTGTCCAGCTTCATGTAGCCGGGGCAGCACTCGTACAACACCGTCCTGTCGCACAAGAGCCACAGAGGTCACTGCATGGAAGAATACGCCCCCAAGTGTTTTTATCTCCAACATATGCAACAAAAGACAAAAAAGAATGAAACCACTGCAGGCTCTCTCTCTCTGCTCTCTCTCTGGTCTCTCTCTCTGGTCTCTCTCTCTAGTCTCTGGTCTCTCTCTGGTCTCTCTCTCTAGTCTCCCTCTCTGGTCTCTCTCTGGTCTCTCTCTGGTCTCTCTCTGGTCTCTCTCTGGTCTCTCTCTGGTCTCTCTCTGGTCTCTCTCTCTAGTCTCTGGTCTCTCTCTGGTCTCTCTCTCTAGTCTCCCTCTCTGGTCTCTCTCTAGTCTCTCTCTAGTCTCCCTCTCTGGTCTCTCTCTGGTCTCTCTCTGGTCTCTCTCTGGTCTCTCTCTGGTCTCTCTCTGGTCTCTCTCTGGTCTCTCTCTGGTCTCCCTCTCTGGTCTCCCTCTGGTCTCCCTCTCTGGTCTCCCTCTGGTCTCTCTCAGCTCTCTCTCTGGTCTCCCTCTGGTCTTTCTCAGCTCTCTCTCTGGTCTCTCTCTGGTCTCTCTCTGGTCTCTCTCTCTGGTCTCTCTCTGGTCTCTCTCTCTAGTCTCCCTCTCTGGTCTCTCTCTGGTCTCCCTCTGGTCTCTCTCTGGTCTCTCTCTCTGGTCTCTCTCTCTGGTCTCTCTCTGGTCTCTCTCTGGTCTCTCTCTGGTCTCTCTCTGGTCTCTCTCTGGTCTCTCTCTGGTCTCTCTCTGGTCTCTCTCTGGTCTCTCTCTGGTCTCTCTCTCTAGTCTCTGGTCTCTCTCTGGTCTCTCTCTCTAGTCTCTCTCTCTGTCTCTCTCTCTGGTCTCTCTCTGGTCTCTCTCTGGTCTCTCTCAGCTCTCTCTCTGGTCTCCCTCTCTGGTCTCTCTCTGGTCTCTCTCTGGTCTCTCTCTGGTCTCTCTCTGGTCTCTCTCTGGTCTCTCTCTGGTCTCTCTCTGGTCTCTCTCTCTGGTCTCTCTCTGGTCTCTCTCTGGTCTCTCTCTCTGGTCTCCCTCTCTGGTCTCCCTCTGGTCTCTCTCAGCTCTCTCTCTGGTCTCTCTCTGGTCTCCCTCTGGTCTTTCTCAGCTCTCTCTCTGGTCTCTCTCTGGTCTCTCTCTGGTCTCTCTCTGGTCTCTCTCTGGTCTCTCTCTCTAGTCTCCCTCTCTGGTCTCTCTCTGGTCTCCCTCTGGTCTCTCTCAGCTCTCTCTCTGGTCTCTCTCTCTGGTCTCTCTCTGGTCTCTCTCTGGTCTCCCTCTGGTCTAAATTCACAACGACTTTACAAAGTTGTCAATTCGCCAGTAACAGATAAAAAAAAATCAAATAGTTCAAACATAGGAAATATAAGGAGGAATAAAAGAAACACAGAACCATTGATCCAGAACCAGGGAGTGGGGTGACCAATGTCTACGATTGTCCATCACTGGGTAATTAGAAAAACCACTAATATTCTTCTACTGGACCTCTACAATTACCACTAATAATCTTTGACCACACAGCTCTCATACTTTGGAGGATGCAGTTTTTCCAACCGAGGCCTGTGGTTCAGAGCTGCTGATTCATCGTGTTGTGTTTCCAAATGGTCACAATCATTCGGAGGTTAGACCCAGACGTGTGTGATCCAGAGGCTAATGCAAACCAACCCAGAGCTGCAGGCGGAGGGAGCAGAGGTCGAGCCCAGACGTCTCCGTGGAAGAAAGCACCAGACGTTACAAATGTGTTGCTGCGGTGGAAAGGCTAAATAAAACCTGGTGTGTTTGTTTTGATTCAGATCCATATCAGAGGTTGAACTTTACAGTAGCTTTGTTCTCATCAGTGTCAATGAAACATAGACAAAAACACACAGTAACCGTATACACACACAAACACACGCACACACAGGTACAGACACACACATACTCACATGCATACACAAATACACACACACTGTCCTGTAACATGTGATGCAACACTGAAATGTATCCGCTGTGGGACGAATAAAGGATCTCTTCATCTTAAACACACACAGACACACACACACAGACACACACACCAACACACACGCACGCACACACACAGGCACAGACAGACTCACACACAGACACAGACACACACACAGGCGCACACACGCACACACAGGCGCACACACACAGGCGCACACACACCCACACACACAGGCACACACACACACACACACACACACCGACACACACACACACACCAACACACACACTCATGCTGGCATTACAGAGTGCTAAGTGTTGCCGGAGGTTTCTGGCTGTAAATACAAAGAAACTACGTTTATGCAAATGTGTCTTGACATTTTTACCACGTCTCAACACGATCGTTCCTTTCATTGGGAAAGAGTGTAGCTTCAATGTTTAGATCCCAATAGTAAATACTGGAAATCGGAAAAAGTCATAAACGTAACAGAAAAAAGATGATAATTTCAAGTCTAATCTCAAAAAGTTTGAATCGTGGCGTTCTCTCACGTGATGGACGAATAGGGAGATTTAGTTCTTCTTGTCATGGGATCAGATAATTTAGTTAGTTTATTTTTTCTTCGGCCAATATGTACACCCGACCTCGGGTCACACGGATACAGAGCTCACATTTACTTTTTACAACAAGAAAATAAAAAAATGAAAAAAACAGAACCAACATGTGTCCATAAAGGAGCTTGTGCGAAACAATACCTGACCGAAAGGTCAAAACTTATACTGCCTAACCCCTAATACAATGTGAAAATACGTCCAAAGATGACAAATTATTGTCACGAGGTGAGATGATGTAGGACTCAAAATTGCAGGAATGCCAAAAATAAGGGTTTATTGATAAAAAAAGTCCAGATGAAACCAACTCAAAATCCAAAACCAAAACAGGACCAGGAACAGGATGGAAACAGACAGAGACATGAACAAGACAAGACAGGACGTTGACAAGACAATGGACCAGCACAAGGGGAGAGGAGCGCAGGGTACAAATAGACACAGACACAGGTGAAACACATCAGGGCAGGGCAAACAATCAAGACAGGGGAAACAGCACAGAAGTCAAACTCAAAACCAAACCACAGAAAAAAAATGTCAAAATAAAACAAAAATACAAAAATAAAATCCACACCATAACAGTACCCCCCTTCCAAGGGACAGCTCCCAGATGTCCCAAGAAAAGCAAGCCAGGGAGGGCGGAGGGGGTCCGGCGGAGGGACCAGAGGCAGCTTAGAGGCTGCATAAACCTCAGGTCCCAGGCAGAGTCCAAACTAGGGGCAGAGGCTGAAGCCCAGCGGTGACCTTCCATCAGGGAACTGGCTCACCCCGGACGGACACAAATGCCCGGCGGTGACTCAGACAGGGCAGAACCACCCCAGACGGAGAACCATGTCTGGCGGTGGAAACAGGAGAAGGGTAGGAGAGGTCATCGAAGTGCAGCAGCAGACACAGGCAAGGAAATCCAAGCAGACATAAACCATCCAGGCAAGAGCAGAACGTCACTGTAGACCTCTCAACAGGTCAGGGGGGGACAGAGGACCACCCCGGGCGGAGACAAGTGCCCGGCGGTGGTACGGAGGGAACACCACCCCAGACGGAGGTACTTGTCTGGCGGTGGTACCAGGTAACGGGTTGAGAGGTTGACAGTGATGAGATGGTGAAAGAATAAAAATCTTAAAGGTTGCGATGAACAGGGAGCAGGTGTGTGGTAAACGGCATTCTGCTGAGTCCTCTTGTTGGCTGGTCCATTCTGTCACGAGGTGAGATGATGTAGGACTCAAAATTGCAGGAATGCCAAAAATAAGGGTTTATTGATAAAAAAAAGTCCACATGAAACCAACTCAAAATCCAAAACCAAAACAGGACCAGGAACAGGACGGAAACAGACAGAGACATGAACAAGACAAGACAGGACGTTGACAAGACAATGGACCAGCACAAGGGGAGAGGAGCGCAGGGTACAAATAGACACAGACACAGGTGAAACACATCAGGGCGGGGCAAACAATCAAGACAGGGGAAACAGCACAGAAGTCAAACTCAAAACCAAACCACAGAGAAAAAATGTCAAAATAAAACAAAAATACAAAAATAAAATCCACACCATAACAATTATACAGTTTCTCTTTTACCAACAATGGTAACATGAAGCACCAAAAAACTTGCACTTCAACAAATCAAAATTATGTTATAATAATAATGCATCGGTTTTATATAGAGCTTTTTTGGACACTCAAAGACGCTTCACATGTGTCATTATTCATTCACTCCATACACGGTGGTGATAAACTACTACTGTAGCCACAGCTGCCCTGGGGCACACTGACAGAAGCGAGGCAACCAGTATGTGCCATCGGCCCCTCCGACCACCACCAACCATTCACACACACACCAGACTCATTCTAGGCAATGGGGGTGAAGTGTCTTGCCTAAGGACACAACAGCAGTTTGGCACTTTACAGCCGCAGCCGCCCCACTGTGGCTGCTGTTCCCAGAGGTTAAGGGTCTTGCCCAAGGACACAACGACAGCAGACAGTGGGAGTCGATGGTGAAAGTCTTGAGCGGGGCTTGAACCCACGACCTTCTGGCTCAAAGGCCAACGCTCTACCAACATTTTACATGATCAAAATTATAGGTGACACAATATACAGGTTCTCATATACCAACGATGAAGCACAAAACATGAACTTCCATAAACACGAGTTATTAAGCATAGTCCAATTCAATTGTCCTATACTTCTGCATAATATTTGACTCATACTTTTGTTTGAATGTTTTAATAGTTCTTGAGCCCTTAAGTTGAATAGACTGTTCCATAGATCAACTACTTTGACTGATACACATCTCCTCTTAGTATGACTCTTTGCTCTGGGTTTCTGAAGCAGATCCGTTCCTCTGAGGCTGTAGCTACAGTCTCTCGTATGAAACATCTGTAAACAGTGAGGAAGCATGAAGTAGTGAGCCTCATCACCGTACGTTAAACAGAGTGAAGTTGTTGCACCTAAAAAGAACAGTTTTTA